TCTCTATCTGTTTTTCTTTTTTAAGTACCTATCTTATGTAAAAATTACTTAATAATTTTTATATATTTATAAAAGTTGTAAAAATTAATCCGGCATACAAATCCGAATCATCGTATGTAGTAAAAATAAAGGAAAATTATTATGTGTATTATATGTTAATATAAATATATTAATCCTCCATGAATATATTTATTATGTTATAATTTAAAAAATGCAGTACATATTGTAAGATGATTTGAAAATGAATCTTCAATGAAGTAAAAAATTGATTATTCTTTTCAATCCTTTTGCAAAATATATTATGTAAACAGTTAATTTAATTGACATTGATTACTTTGCAAATATTAAGTTAACTATAATTCATTTAATGATTGGTTTTGCAGATCATTACATATCAGATTGAATTGTTATAAAAGATATTCAAATTATTATTATAATTCTAATAATAGTCGCATTCTGCATTTAGTACTAAGTGCGGCTAGCTTTTAATTTTTAAGATAAAGTTTATACATAATAAAAATCAGAAGCAAATAATTAGATTTTAATGCTAAATGCAATTATATACTCAATACAATTCCTGTTACCCTGTATATATTCGGATGAAAAACGGAAATAAATTCATTTTAAGCTAATTTAATTACAATAGGGCTAAAAACGCAGATTGTCACTTTTGTACAAATTATCTTTTTTATTCCTCATAATAATTTTGTCGAAATGACGAAATGCGATGAAAAATGGAAATAAATTTGTTTTAAGCTAATAAAGTTTATTTAGGGCCAAAAAAGCAGACCATCACTTTTTGTACAAATTACTTTTTTTATTCCTCATAATAATTTCGTCGAAATGACAATGCGATGTATACGAAATATTAAAAAAGTACAATAGCCCGTTTATACAAAATATGATTTTTACAATACATAAATATAATCGACCACTGTGTACTTCCGCAATGTCTGCTGTAACGCATCAAATGCAATATCACCGACAATTTTGCTTTATCGAAAATAATGAATATATTCGCGCGTGCAGCTCTTTCGATATAAAAAAACTATATCCTCCGGCGAAGAGATGACGATTCCGTGCAACGTTTCGCGATTTATCGAATTGGATCATCGTCCCTGTTTCGTAAAAAACGAATTTCTAACTCGCTACATTTACTTTTCTTTTTCTTGCCATAAGTCTTTCTCTCTCTAAGTAGCCGTAATCAGCTATTCGGACAATGTATTATTTGTCGCGCGTTTAGCAAAACAACGAGTAGATGTAACGAGAAGGCAAGTTAGAGAAACTTATGAGACAAGAGCTGTATGTAGATTTGCTCTCATTCTTGTCATTGCCTATTCGTTGTCGAATTGTCTTTTGAGTAGGCTAGTACCAAAATAGGACAAGCAACAGCGATATCGTCATCGGC